AGCAACTTTTTAAAAATCTCCAGGTTTGTTCTCTTTTTCTTTACTTTCAAGCCTATTTCCTTGCAGTCTGGATGTTACAGGTGGCACACCTGTACAGGCAAAAAAGAGTAACAGTTACTGTTGGCTTTCTTTTTATTTTAAAATTATATACATGCCTATGTATATACATAAAACTTTCCAGGATCTCCTGAAACTGGGAAGCGGCTCTAGAGATACTCTGAATAGGAGAAAAGCCAAGTTCGCTAAGGCCACAATAAACTACTTTGCTTAGCTCTTCTTAGCTGTTCCTGAACCAGTTGCACATCACGCTGCTGCAGCAACATCTCGCCCTGCATTTAGAGACTGCAAGGCCATGGTTTGACTGGCCGCTAACGGAGTAACTGGGTGATGGCAGCAAGCACAAAGCCTTGAGGCGCGGAGCAAGGCGAGCGGAGAAACGTGCATTTCCACAAGCACCCTCTTCACTGCAGGACATGCTCCCGACTCACCATGAACCTAAAAGAAAGCACCCGTTTTTGAAGGGTTTTTCATATTAAAGCCATGTTACTGTACTGGCTATGCTACACTACCTTTTTGTACATTCTGCAAATCTAGGCTCAGTTCACAGATTTGCCAACAGAATTAAGTGAGACAACAATGCGGTTTAGGCTTCTGGGACGTGACAATTTGTACCTTGCAGTGCACTGTTTGTACATTGTAAACTGCTGAAACAGGTTTTATTAAGCAGAATTTTAAGGGACTCATAAAAAATGCTCAGTATATCTTTAAAAAAAAGCAACAAAACCATTTTTATCAGAAAAAATGTCTTGAATTTTAACAGAAAAGTGATCTGACACATTTTTACTGAAAACATATATGAGTACAGCTTGTATCACTAAAGAACTGCATCAGAACTTAATTTTTAGAGGTATCTCCCTCCCGCATGGCATTCGGGGAGCCAGGCAAGCAGCAGGGCAGGCAGGGAAAGCGGCAGGTGCGGCAGGTGCGGCAGGGACACAGCGAGCACAGCAGGCCAGCAAGCTCGTTTTGACACTCCGGCGCCAGGGCCAGGAGAAACCTTGGCTGACGCAGGAGGATGGAGGAGGGAGCAGGGAAACCAGGACGCTCGTGGCCGTTCTGGGGCTGCAGAGCGAGGCGTCAGAGCGAAGCAGAAGCAGAATTCAAAGACTCTCTCGCATCCACTCAGGAGGGTGACATCCAGCACCAGCAATACAAACAGACACCAGCTTTATGGCTTACGCAGTGACAGTTGTTCAGAATAAAATCAAGTTCAGTGATGCTTACAGGTCTCCTCTGAGATGTTGCTAAGTTGAGAGAGCTCAGGTGCAGAAGGCAAGTTAGCAGTGAGACTGGAAGCTGAGGTGTCCGGGCCAGTTTGCACGGGGTCTCCATCGAGTTCCTGGGAAATGAAGAGAACCTGACTGTCTAGAGAAGTTTCTTGGAAGGAGTCAACTGGAAACCTCCTTTGCCATCCTTCAGTCTACCGGCTGTACCAAAGACAAAGTGCGGATCGAGGCTGGTGGCAACTACTCAAACCCTTTCCAGTTCTTCATAGACCACACGCGGGAGACTTGAGAAGTACCAGCACTGTGACTCCTGCTTTACAGCTGGTTGTAGGCCATCTTCAGTCCTGACCCCTTGCAGCACGGGGTCCTGCAGCCAGCACCACAGCCGTGCCCACTTCTGGGCTTGCGCACCAGGACCCCTTGGGCATCCCTGGGGCTTCCCGCAGCACAAACCACAGGCAGGAGGAGTGACAAACAGCACCAGTGCAAAATCCACCACACGCAAGGTACAAACAGGAATTAAAGGCGACATCACCAAATAAGTGTGGCAATGTTTACAGCAGTTGTGCAATGTTAAACTCTCTGGGAAATAAGAATATCCCTCATGACTACCTAAACCCATCAAATCAACACCATTAATCATAGCATTTTGCAATCTGATTTCGAATGTACTATTCAATGACTAACCAAGAATAGAAGCTGAAGACATGTTGCCATGTATGAAACAAAAATAGCACATCTGGCAATATTTAGCAATTTCACAA